TTCATGAAGATGATGATGTGCAATGTCACGATCCTCCACTCTCTCTGCTGCGGGGCAATGAACGTCCGGTCCATACACCTAGTAGTGCGAGGCATAAATACCGCCAGCGCCGTACTCTTTCTCACCATCACCCTCTTACTCCTCACCGAAAAAATCAGCAACGACCATGTCTACTCCACACCCCCACCATTTCCGCCCAGCGACGACGCACGCCGACTGGACCAAGACTGACCAGTACCACAACAAGTACCTGCTCTCACAGGACGAAGCGCTTGAATTCGCTCTGAAGAACACAGACGCGAACGGCATCCCCCTTATCAGCGTCTCTGCTGCCCAGGGAAAGTACCTCTACTTGCTCGCCAAGACGCTCGGTGCGAAGCAGATCTTGGAAGTGGGCACGCTCGGCGCCTACTCGACTATCTGGATGGCGAAGGCGCTGCCTGAGGGCGGGGAGATCATCTCCCTCGAAGTGAACCCGAAGCACGCGAAGGTGCGTATTCTCTATGCTTCCTCTACAGGGACTGACACAAGCACAGATCTCGACGGAGAACATCGCTCACGCTGCCAAAGCACGCCTCCGGCATCACCGGAAGCAGGGATGGCTGGGCGTCTGCCACGGGACTCCCAAGGCGGGCTGCCCCGCTGTCCTGCATCATTTCCCTCTCACAACCAGACATTTATCCACCCATACGTGTAATCTCTTCTAAGCCGAATTCTCTCTACTAGAGTACGCATGGTTGCTTCTGTCCTATTTGATATATATAACAACCGTGACAGCAGCTCTTCACAACTTCTGACAAAGATAACGGAATCCTGTCACTGCGCTCACGTTCACCACCCTCGTCTCACCATTACTAATCAAGGCATGATTGGCGACAAACCCCAATCTGCTCAGTCTCCAATCCCCTCAGTGGCTCCACACGAGCACCACCCTCCTCTCACCACTTCTCAAGATGACATGACTGGCGACAATACGGAGTCTGCTCAGTCTCCAGTCCGCTCAGCGATCTCCCATGAGTATCACCCTCATCTTATCACTGCCACTCAACCAGATTAAGTGAGCAATTCCAGTGGTTCGGCGGCATACTACTTCGATGTTCAAGCGCCGGAGGAAGAATCATCTTGCAAAGCTGGCTCTCTCGGCGATCAGAGATATGTCGGATACAACGATGCACCGCCTCCCTATGCCACCCTAGAGACGAGTCATTTTAACACAACGAACACAGACGCCCACAACCGCGCGAGTGTTTCTGTTGAACATACAAGCCCGTATCTGAATGTCTCTCCGCTTCTATGCAATACGAGGGACGCTGTGACTACAGCTGCGTCTCAGAGCGACGATATCGAAGCTAGGACTGTCGAATTCTTCCGTGCCAGATTTCTATCGGAATTGCCCGTGTATCCTCGCTACTCGTTCAACCCTGCGTTGAACGCTCAACCGCCGGGGGGTCTAACGACCCCAGAACTCTTTGATGCTCGGAGAAAATCCCAAATTGCCGCTAAAGCCAAGTCCCGAGCTGAGGAGCGAGCACGTGCCGAAGCTCGGCGTCGTCGGGCTGTATACAACACCCAACAGGCTGGATATCACCCTGTGGCTACATTCGAGGACGGGGAACCAGTGCTGGCTCCCTCTGGGGCCACGAGCGATTATTGGGACCGTTTCTGGGACTGGTTTGGCCGTTTCATTGGAAATGGGTAGTTTCTTAGACACATTTCCTCAGTGGGTTGCATAGGCGCTTCCCCGAGTTTCATTCTAAATCATGTTGTACTCCTCTATAGTAGTATTGTCTATATATATGAAATGACACTCAAGTACAGGTCATCAGTGTTACACCGGGAACTGAGCGCGCTATGCCTGTTCTTCCCGGGAGGCTGGAGTTGTGTCCTCCGGTCACCCCACTCCGTAGACACAGTTGCACCAATGGCCCCCGGGCACAATTTACTTGGATGACCTATCAGGAATCTAGCGTAAGAGCTTGGATTGGGGCTGGCAAATAATTGGGAAGATGCCCATAAATGGAGTTGCTACGTCCCGTGATACCAGGTCGCCTGGGTTCCATCGGCAAGTTTCCCGGAACAAGCGGGAAACCAATAGACGTTCAGAAAGTGAGTTCCATATTTTCAGGTGATATCAAATGGAATCCAGAAAAAAAAACATGCAAAGTGTTGATGACATCTTGCCGGGTTACATTGCGCAGAAAGGCAATTCACTGACGTTTCGCACATTAGACACGAATAAGTATGAGGGGCGAGGCTGGAAAGAAAACAAGTTTGGCATTTGCGAGTCTAACGAAGTGCTTAATTTTGCGAGAGTATGAAAGGTCAGCGCCAACTGGTAGGTGAAAAGGTGAAAAGAACGGCACAAGAGCGGAACCAGACTTTCGGCATCTTCCCCCGGCATCTCGGCATCTACATTCCCAACTTAATTGTTTACATTTCCTGTTCCATTAGTTGCGGAGAGTCTTTGCGCTGCAGGAATACACAACACATATTGCTTTGAAAAATAATCCCCTAAACCTCTTTCTTAAAGTAACTAGATAGCCCAATACTGACGCACGCACCCCGGCTATAAATACACCGTGGTGTGGGTCCCGTTCCAAAGGAAGGGTCGTATCGTCAACGGAATTGATCCCGATGAGCTGCCCAGAATAGCACTATGTATATACCACTCACCCTTGTCAACGTCGATGTTTTGGTTGTTCTCGACGTCCTGCTCGCCCCCACGACGACGATTCTCTGGTTATCTCGCCCCGTTCGGCTCACTAGCCACTCACACTCTTTTTGACTAAACGTTCTTTACTGCTTTATTAAAGCTTGTTGCGGTTGGATAACCGCCTCGTCCCCATGATGTTCCGTTCCTTGCTTTCTGTCGGCCTCTTATCAATCGTATCCCTCGCATCTGTTCAAAACCATGGAATTGCCCATGCAAAATCTCGCCGCCATCATGATCGTGCCGTTGCATTGCAGGAGAGGACTAATGTGACTGAGAGGCAGGACGGTCAAACGTTCAATGGCCGAGCGACGTGGTTCATTGTCGGTGCGTCTAATTCATCATTGCACATCGGCCAATCTGTTAAAGTAATATTTAGGCCTCGGCGCTTGTGGCCAATACAGTCAGTCAAGTGATTTCGTGAGTCAATCCATTTGAGGGCGATGGAGTCGTCCCCTAAACACTGTGTTAGATGGTCGCCCTCAATACGCCTCAATATGGGGATGGGTATCCTGGACCGAATTGCTTCAAGTCAATTACAATTTCGTACAATGGAGAGACTGAGGTCGCTACCATTCTTGATGAGTACGCATTGGATCGAGTTCGTGGAGACAATACCTAAAAACGTTACAGATGCCCTACTTGCGACTGGGGTGATCTCGACATGTCGCAGGGTCTATTTGACTCATTCGCGGACCCCGGTGTCGGAGAGTTCCAGATGACGTGCGCTCCTCTTAGGATTGGCTTAACATATACCTGACATACTGGCAAGTTGGTGGTTTAACGACGGCTCGGACAGTGGTGGGGCCGGCGGAGGAACACCGACGTCTTCCACGTGGTCGGACCCAGCCCCCTGGACCACCGATCAGCCGCAGTCTTCCTCAACCCCTTGGTCCGACCCTGCTCCCTGGACAACCGATACACCCACGGCAACATCGACCCCCTGGTCCGATCCGGCTCCCTGGACTAGCCAGACATCTACATCTACGTCTACGTCGTCCTCGACTACGCCGACTTCGACGTCCTCATCCTCTTCTTCGTCTTCCTCCTCTTCCTCCTCTTCCTCCGCTTCCTCTGTGTCTCTTTCGGGTACTCCGACCACCCTCAACGTGGCGGATTCTGCACCAACGGACGGTGCCGGGTCAACTGGGGACAATCTGAGCGGCATGGGTCAGCTCGTCGTCAATTTCGGAAACATCATTGTCGCTGGTGGCAAGTCATGAGTATCCCCTCTGCTATCCTTTCGTGATTCCGTGGATTTCTCACGAATGAGTACCTCGCGAGCCACATATACCCTCCATGTATACCAACATTCCTTCGCGAGACACTCCTTGTAACCTCTCTATCCTTATTTTGGCACGCTTGTCTGGGACAGGTTTACCACTTTTCAGCGTGCGGCGCAGCCATCACGGGTTCTTATTCATAGTCAAATCGATACACTCGATAATGGATATATTTCATGGCGGATATCGGCTGGGCTGAACCACAATGATGTGGGACCGCGATCAAACATCAATTTGCTTATTCTCAGGGGATAGAATATTCCTCCTATTGAAACGCCCGGTGCTGACCAAACACCGAAGAGGTCTCGGCCTCCGATTTTGTCGGATTTCTTGGCGAGAAGGTTTCTTGTTGTCAAGCCAACGCTGTTCTTGTGCCTGTGAACCTTTAATGGCAGGATTACGTTGTTGCATCTTCGCTCTTCACCCGTATACCTTCTTCAGTCCTGCGCACTAGTTGTGCGTGGAAAACACACATTCGTTTACAAAACATACACTCGTTTACACTTCACACTCTTTTTGTCACAAAGATTCGTTGAACCAGTCTCATCACTATGATTTCAATCTGGCAGCTCTCTTCAACGGCTTTGCTACTTGGGCTTGTCTCGGCCGCACATCTGCAGCAAACTACGCGTGCTGACAAGCGACACCGAGGCTTTGGCACAAGAAATGCCAACTTGACTCAAAGAGGACAGACCTTTTCTGGACGTGCAACCTGGTTCAACGTTGGTCAGTAACGAGTCCTCACAACGTGTGGGAAAATAGCCTTATGACGCTTTCCACTTAGGTTTGGGTGCATGCGGAGAGACTAACGTTCCAAGTGATATGGTAATAAGGCCATACCTCCGTGACTTCTGTGTGCTGACAATTGCTGCAGATGGTGGCACTGAATTATCTGGTTGGTCTGGCCCGTTCCATATTGGCGCTCGGATCCTCATTAGGCCTGATGTAGCAATTTGGCGATGGGTATCCTGCCCCACAGTGTTTCCAGTCTATCACTATCGAGTATAATGGCCAGCAACAGGTAGCTACCATCCTTGACGAGTGAGCAGAGCAAATTTTATTGAGACGAAAGAAATGCTTACGAATTCAAGGTGTCCGCAAGGCTCTTGTGATGCGGTTGGTAAGCCACAGGCTATGTAACCCTCAACCGGTGTATTGAGGCGCCCTTAGGTCAACTGGACCTCTCGACAGGTCTCTTCTCTCTGTTTGAGGACACCAGCCTTGGCCAGTTTGATATGACGTACGTTTGCCTGTTCTTCCCAATCCGAGAGGTTTGAACAGAGATTATCCTATAGGTGGTGGTTCAATGATGATCCCCCTTCGGGCGATAATGGTGGCAGCATAACCACATCTTCGACAGATCCGGCACCTTGGACCAGCACAACAACGACCACCACTTCGTCGACATCTACCAGCACCACAACGACGTCTACTACAGCTTCCAGCTTATCGACGTCGTCTACGACATCCACAACAGCATCCAGCAGTGGATCATTGGGTGGCACGAGTGGCACTGGAACATCGACAGATTCACCTACCGCGTCAGGCAGTCCAGTGACAGGGAACATGGCCGCCGCTGGGAATTTGGTTGTAGCTTTCGGTGAAATTGTGATGGCGGGAAGCAAGGACTGAGCGTTGGTAATGAGGGATGGTACCCAAACACTGCAGATACCAAGCTATGTAGTTGGATATTAATTAAAAAACGTAATGAGGAGCTCTGGCGCGTGACCTGCAATATGCTTACGTAAAGACAATGAAAGGTGAACGCGTCCAACGCGTCGCATCCTTCCCACATCACGTCCATTTTGTCCACTGCCTCTCTCCGCAACATACATATCATTCACTCTCGAACCAGATGGCGGATGGTGGGATGGATGTAGTTAGCATCTCTTGTGCATTATCTACTCGTACGTTTCCATCACGCGTGAGCATGTTCATGATTAAGTGTCATCACACAGAGGACATGGACTGCCAGTCTCCTGCAAAAAAGCTTGTGACCATCGATTTGACTGAAGCGCTCCAAACTCCAAAAACGGGAAAACAATCCACGTTTTCTACGCCAACAAACAATAAACCATCAAGTTTGGTTGATTTGAGGAGTGGGAAATTGGTGCTCAGACAGAAGCTGCTCCCATTGGAACGGACGATGACAACAATGAAAGGCGCGTCCTACGTCCTTTGTCGGATATTGATGTCGTCTAACGCGAAATGTAGAGATGGTCGCGTTTAATGAGATGCTACATAGTCTAACTGCGCCGCTTGCGTCTATTCCTGAAGCGCATTTACCGCTTGTTGCTAAGCTCGCTTTCGAAAGGCAAGTGGAGCCTGTAGCATCCTAACTCGTTCACTGACATGTATCCAGTGATAAAACCGGGAACGCACTTGCCAAACGAATGAAGTCTACACTGCTCCCAGAGACAGGAAGTGATGACGCGGAGGGAGAGAATGATGAATCCGCGAACCTACCACTAGGCGTTCTGGAGGATGCGATTGGTCGAGTCTGCGAGCGTATCAACTATGGGATTGATGGCGCATCCGCGGCCATGTCACTATGGAGATGGGAGGTGAAAGACTTGGAGATGATACCGCCAGAGGTGCGGGAGAAGGCAGTGAAGCGCAGAGCCGAGCGAGAGCAGGTCCGCAAAATCTTTTCCAGATATTGTGCCGTTCTTCATTACGTGCCAGGCAAAGCGCGATGTTCCAGTCCTGCTCGAGTCCTTAAACGAAGAGGAACGAACCAAGCTTTTACACCACAAGGACAAAGCCAGCTCCAGGGATGTGTTGAAGGATTCTGCAATCAAAGTTCTTGATAGGACTCCGAAACCTCGAGAGAAGGAAAATGTCACTCCAGGACCCAAGAAAGCTCAAGAGACGCCCAAGGCACGTGTTTCCGTCTTCGTGTTTGATGATGACCTGATCTGATTGTTCCATAGTCTGCCCAGTCCGCCGGAGAGAGTGCCAAGAAATCAGCGGTTCGACCCCGGAAGGTTGTGGATGCCGAACAACTGGCGCTGGTTAGGGAGAAACACGAGCGAGCTGTTCAAAAGGCCGAGGCAAAGGAGAAGAAGGGAGCCGTGAGTCACGACAACTGAAAGAAGTTCACATCACTCATATTTCACAGGAACAGGCAAAGGCTGCCGCCAGTATGACTGCTTGGCTGGGGAAGGCAAATGCAAAGCCTGTCATTAAGCCGGTGGCAACGATTTCCAAGGCATCTTCGTCGAAATCAGATTTTGATGAGTACTTTCGGCCATTTGTCGTGAAGAAGGATGTGGAGCTTGCACCTATCACTGCATTATTCTCAAAACCAGAGTCGAGACCCGAACGTATCATTTTGGACTCGGAGGGCGACATTGTCATGGTCGACAGCGCTTGTTCAAGTTCCACGGGTACGGCTCCTCGGTATCTGTCAGGAGGTGACTAACATGCAGCAGATCTTCTTTTGGGATTCCTTGCTGATGTCCCATCATCTCGGAAATACGTCCCATCTACTTTTACCTGGAAGTCATATGCCAGGTACTGTGTTCGTGACGTTGTGGCTCAAATCACGGAGGCGGAAGTCAATGGCGACGATCGCCTAGTGCGGCAATTGCGTGCACGACTCAAAGCAGGGCGGAATGTACCGGTCAAGCTGCTTCAGTTCCATGACAATATTCGGCCTGCTTATTTTGGCACCTGGACGAAATCCTCCGCTGGTGTCGGACCAAGAGCACCTTTTGCTCGCGATATTGCCACCCTAGACTATTCCTACGAAAGTGGGGATGACTGGAATGAAGAAGATGAGGGTGGGGAAGATGTCATGAGCGACGGTGCGTCCGCCACACCCGAAGCGAACTCTGAAGATGAGGAAGACGAGTTCGCGGGTTGGATGGTAAACGACGACGAGATTGACGAGGATGAACTCCCGAACTCACCACCTCCGGATTTCGATTGGCCGGCCCCTCCGCCGCCTAAAAGGAAGGCAGATCCAGAGAGAGAGCAGAAGACTAAACGTCGAAAGATTCTTCAGCCACTTATGCCCTACACGAAGGGGCCATGTTTCGAAGAGACGATTGGGCTATGCGAGCATGATTCATTCCTCGATTATCGGATACATTTCCTGAACGGTATGTAACAACTGTTTTACCTCTAAGCTGACCGACATTGACCGACATTAGATTTTCCATTCCCTATCGATCCATTTTCGTTTATCGCGCCGACCGTCAACCATGAACCAATTTCCACAGCACAAAAGGTTATTTCGAACGGAGAACAGCAGGAGGGCCCAGAAAGCTCTGCATCAACGGGTCCTGCTGTGGACAACTCTGGTAAGGTCAAGTCCTCGGTTCCTCCCCCCAGAAATCCATTTCCCGAGAAGCATCTGGCTGCTCTGCTTCAAGCAATCGAGGGGAGCACTAAGCCGCGACCTGTGCTTCTGGAAGATCTGTTCTCCAGCTTTAAGGATCTAGGGGTTAAGAAAAATGCCATTGACGCAAAATTGAAGGAAGTCTGTGTTAAGGAGAAGAAAGTCTGGAAGGTACTTGACGAGGCGTGGGTAAGTTGTCGTATTTGTTGATCTCTTATGCCTCTGACCGTTTTCCAGACGAGTGTGCGTGTCGGTGCATCTGTGCCTGCACCTTGAGTTATTTAGACGATGCAGTGCCACACTTTTTATTACCCGCATATATATATACTAGCATGTTGACTTCGCGCTTCAAGAAGATTGATCGCTTTCTGTGGCATTCAGGTCTCATTCCAGGTGATTCGGTTGATTGGATATTCACATCATGCATTGGATCTCGAACAGAACGGTGCGTAATGGAAGCAGGGACCTATCACATAACATGGCACACATAATGCACATGCAAGATCATTTTGCGGAAAAAGAAATGCTCGCTACCCCAACTTCAGCCTTCCGCTGTCTAGACAAGCCTGCGCCGTGCTGCCCGTTTACCGGATACCAGCAGTGGCCTTCTGGAGCGCCCGCCTGACGCCAAGTTGTGCCTTCTTGAGTTCCTCTGCCGTGGAGTCCTCGAGCTCGAGCTTCTCGAGCGCCTTTGCCAGCTCGGACTCGACCTGCCCCTTAGCTCCGCGCTTGATCTTCATGCCAATCTCGGGCGAGGTGATGGTCTGTTCGACCTGGTGAATGTACGCCTCAAGATCGGACTTGGCCTCATGCCGTGCGGAGAAGTCCTTGTCTGCCTGCTTGAACTGCTCGGCATCCTTGATCATCTGGTCGATCTCAGCGGACGAGAGACGGCCAACAGAGTTGGTGATGCTGATCGACGCCTTACGGCCGGAGGCACGGTCCATGGCAGTGACTTTAAGCAAGCCGTTTGCGTCCACTTCGAAGGTGGTAACCAGTTCGGCCTGACCGCGTGGCATGGGCGGGATGCCAGTGAGTTCGAACTCACCCAGGAGCCTGTTATCACGGCACTGTGTCCGTTCACCCTCGTACACGGGGAAAGTGACGGTGGTCTGGTTGTCCTCGACCGTGGTGAACGTCCGCGATTTGTTGGTCGGGATGGGCGTATTGCGCGGCACGACGACACCGAAAACATCACCTTGCATGGCTACACCGAGGGAAAGAGGGGCAACATCGAGCAGGAGCAGGTCGGCGGTCTTGTCGCTGGTCTGACCTGTGAGGACAGCAGCCTGGACAGCGGCACCATACGCAACCGCCTCATCGGGGTTGATGGACTTGTTGAGCTGGCGTCCGCCGAAGTACTCGGAAACAAGGGCTTGGATCTTGGGAATACGAGTGGAGCCGCCAACGAGGACAATGTCGTGGACGCGCTCGCGGGACATCTTGGCATCCTTGAGCACCTTGTCTACGGGGTCAATTGTGCTCTTGAACGTCACAGCGTTGATCTCCTCAAACCGGGCACGGGTGATGTTAGCAGAGAAGTCCTCGCCTTGGTAAAGCGAGTCAACTTCGACGGTAGTCTGGGTGACGCTGGAGAGGGTGCGCTTGGCACGTTCGCACGCGGAACGTAACCGACGGAGTGCACGGGCATCGTCAGAAATGTCGAGCTTCGTCTTGCGCTTAAACTCGGCCTTGAAATGCTCCAGCAAGGCATTGTCGAAATCCTCACCACCGAGATGTGTGTCGCCGGCAGTAGCCTTGACCGCGAAAACGCCACCGGTAATGTTCAGCAGGGAGACATCGAAAGTTCCACCACCAAGATCGAAGATGAGCACGTTCTTCTCCTCCTTGGACTTTTGGTCCAGGCCGTACGCGATGGCAGCGGCGGTGGGCTCGTTGATGATACGGAGAACGTCGAGGCCGGAAATGGTACCAGCGTCTTTGGTAGCCAAACGTTGAGAATCATTGAAGTAAGCAGGAACGGTAATGACAGCCTTCTTAACGGTCTTGCCAAGCTTGGCTTCGGCCGTCTCCTTCATTTTGAGCAGCACCATGGACGAGATCTCCTGGGGGGAGAAAGTTTTCACCTCACCGAGATACTGAACCTGCAGAAGGGTTCAATAAATGTCAGTCAGGTTAGTTCGCGTGCTGCATACCTCAATGAAAGGGGAACCATCCTTGTCCACCACTTTGAAGGGCCAGTGCTGCGTGTCCTTCTTGACCTCGGGATCATCAAATCTCCTGCCAATGAGACGCTTTGCGTCGAAAACAGTGTTATGCGGATTCATGGCACTCTGGTTTTTTGCGGCATCACCGATCAAACGCTCGTTCTCGTTGAATGCAACGTAAGACGGGGTTGTCCTGTTACCCTGGTCGTTGGCGATGATCTCCACCCGATCATTCTGCCACACTCCGACACAGCTGGACGTGCGCTAAGTCAAGTGGGCCACGTTTGCTTGAATATATCGACGTACGAGTAAGTTGTACCAAGATCGATACCGATCGCACCATCGAATATATCCTCAGCAGACATGCTGACTGTTGAAGTGAAAGGAATGAAAGGAATGAGGTTGAGGTCGACAGCCGTGTAAGCGGTCAAGGGATGAGCGGTGAAAAAAAAGTTGGAGGGAAGGCAGGCGGAGGCAAAAAGTCACGCCTCGTTCTGAACGGCCGCATTGCAGTGAAGTCGAGCTCATCGTCCAACAACTCGTCGTCGTCGTCACTGTCGGTCGACGATGGCTTCATTACTTCGACATCAAGCATCTACGTCAACGAGGCGTTCATTCACGCCATCGTTGTGCCCTCCAGCGCTGTGGAGGTCAAGAGGTGCGCCTGGTTTTTTCTTAGCACTTGTCGTGTGACACTGACTATAGTCCAGCATACACGTCGCAAACCACCACGACCCACGTCCTCGACAACCCCCCTCATTCCTCTGAAGAATTGCTGGATCAGAATGATACCTCGACAGAATCCTCAACGCCTCCGCCTCCCGCCTCGCCCCCCTCGTCGGAGTCGGTCAGTCCCTTGCTGCGCGAAGACTGGGCAGAAAGTGTTGTCGAGCGCCAGCGACGAAAAGTTCTCGGTATGTTTGCCCCCTATATCCTCTTACCCCTTTTCTCATCCCATCAGGGTCTATGTTCTCTGAGCTTGGCTCCTCCCAAACCCGGGAAACTGCCTGGCAAGCTTTCCACTCGCTGAACCGACCCATGTCCCCTTCCGAGCTCACTGTCTCTGCTCTCATGGCTTCTGGCGCCCACCTCGGCCACACCAAACAACGCACTCGATCTGCTTTCCTACCGTACATCTACGGCCAGCGAGCAAACCTTAATATCATCGACCTTGATCAAACATTAGCCATGTTCCGCCGTGCCGCCAACTTCCTCCAGCTCGTTGCACAGCGTGGAGGCAACATCATGTTCGTTGGTACCCATGTGGATGGGGTCAAGAAGGCAGCGAAGAAGGCAGCTGAAAGGGTGGGGTACGGTGGATACCATGTATCGGACAAGTGGGTACCTGGAACATTCACGAATGCTGCTGCTCTCCTTGGACCGGATATCTTCCGAGGCGACTATCTGCCCGACGCAGCCGTTTTCCTTAATCCAAGGGTCAACCTTGGTGCACTCAGAGAATGCCATGTCGCGATGGTACCGACCATTGGCATTATCGACACCGATACGGACCCGAGGATTGTTACATATGCCATCCCTGCCAACGATGAGAGCATACGGACTGTGGAGCTCGTAGCCGGCGTATTGAGCGTGGCAGCCAGGAATGGAAAGAGAAAACGTGTAGAAGAGGAGAAACGTGCCCGAGAAGAAGCACAGAGAGCACATAGGCAGAGAGGGTATTAGTTGTATACATCTAGCGTGGTGTTGGCTGCAAGCATGATCATCAACAAGGACTGCGGTATGCTATTAATTAATACCGCATACAGCATCGCACATCGACTATATCTATTGTGGGTTCTGAAGAGCATAATGATACTCTGAAAACAACATGAGCACGGTCCGGAAGTTCAACAAATCAATGCACTCACTCTCTGCCTCCTCGATCGCCTTGACGTTCGCCCTCAGCTTGTTGAGCGTCTCAATATATTCGTCCTCCTCCACGCTGTCGTACACGATGCCCCCTCCTGCCTGGAAGTAGACGACACCATCCTTGAACGTCATCGTGCGGATGGCAATACACGTGTCCATCTCATCGCTGGCAAAGTCGAAGCGCCCGACCGCACCGGCGTACACGCCCCGCCGTTCCCGCTCCAAGTCCTGGACAAGCTCGATAGCCTTAATTTTAGGCGCGCCAGAAACGGTGCCTGCAGGGAAGATGGAACGGAAAGCGTCGAATCTGAAACGCGAATGAATGTCAGCCTGAGTCATCACATGGCACAGCACAGCAAGACCATACCGTGTCTTGCCCGCCCGCAGCTCGCCCGTTACAGTGCTGCCTAGATGGATCACGTGGGAATACATTTTGAGCTTCATAAGCTCTTCCACTTTGACCGTCTCGGGCTTGCACACCCGATTTACGTCATTGCGGGCAAGATCGACCAGCATGATATGCTCCGCGCGGTCCTTCTCCGACGCCTGCAGTTGCGCACCAAGTTCTTCATCCTCTGCGGAGCGTTTCAGTTCCGGTGCATATGCCCATACAGATCGCCACGGGGATGCGAAGCTTACCTTTTGGGGACTTGCCCCTGCGCACCGTTCCGGCGAGAGCGTGGTTCTCCACTTTGTTTCGCGTAACCTTGCAAAGCGTCTCCGGGCTGGCACCGACCAGTTGTATATCTCCACAGTCCAGGTAAAACATGTACGGACTCGGATTCACTTGCCTCAGATGCCTGTAAGCATTGAATGGATGCAGCGTCGTCGGCCGACTGAGTCGCTGAGAAGGCACGGCCTGAATAATATCTCCGGCGATAATGTGCTTCTTCAATTCGGATACGAAACGCTCGTACCCCTCCTTGCCGACATTCGACGTGGTCTTCTGGTCGAGAACGATCGGAGCTTGACGAACTGCTGGGGTATACGGGGAGAGGATCATGCGTGCCACCCGACGGCACTTGGCCACCGCCGTTTCGTACAGAATCGGGAGATCGGAGCGCGACGTCGCATGCGCGAAGACGTGGGATACAACTTTGATGGATTGGTACAGGTGATCGAAGATGATAATCGTATCGCAGAGCATGAAAAAGGCTTCAGGGATACCGAGAGGGTCACGAAGGTTACGGGCGGTCTTGGGTTCGAAGTAGTTTACACAATCGTAGCCCACATACCCGATAGCGCCACCTAAATGACACTAATCAGATGTGGTCACGAGCTGCAAATTTGTGCGAGCATACCTGTGAAGGTGGGCACCTCCGGTATCTTCACATATTTGTACATCGACAACTCCTTCTGCAAAGGAATGACAGGGTCTCCCTCGAAGTCTAGCCCCGGTCCAGTCTTGATCACCCGCAATGGGTCTCAAGATGAGGATCAGTGCTGCCCATGGTGCGAAGTTATCTCTGCTCACCAGCTCCAATGAAACTATACCGGGCGACGTTCTCTCCGGCAATGACCGATTCGAGCAGGAACGAGTACTTCGCATCTTTCGCGACTCTCAGATATGCCATGCATGGTGTGAACAGGTCCGCGGGGAGCTCTAGGTAAACCGGAATGCAGTTGCCTAGATGACGATCGATGAGGGCGTCTTGCACCCTCTTGAGCGTGGGGTTGGGCACCAACGACTGTAGGGAGTCCGAGTCATGCATGTGTCTTTGGGCGGTATAAACTCACGTTGATATCCATCTGATAGCTTAGGGACTCCAGGGTGGTTTGGTTTGTAGGATGAGAGTGGGAAAGGCAATGTCACGAAGCAGTTGGTGGTTAAGAGCAGAGATGAATCTGGCTTGCAAATGAGGGTCGGGGGAATGTCCGTGTGCCCGAAATTTCTGGACCCTGGTAAGATATTGAATTGGATAGGGTCATCATGTTGGTGATTCTTCTGCAATGCTCACTCCCAGGTTCACCTGCAGTCAAGATGACGATGCTGTCATAGTATCATTGTACGTGCCATCAATAAGGGTGAGTGGATTCAAGCTTCCGATATCGCACGTCTTTATTGTGAGGAAAGGCAACGGAGGTCTCCATTCTTGTCGAAGGAACATCATTCACAATCAATGTGAACCCCTACTTCCTGCGAATCAACTTCCCCTCTCCGGTGGTGGAAGATGATGCCTCTTCAGCACTCTATGATCCCTCAAGCGGGTACATGACCGTCAAGTTAGCCAAAGCTGTCAAAGGAGAGCAGTTCCAGGATTTGGATATGCTGGGCAAATTGATGGCCCCGAGCACTTCCAGCCCGGCTACGAACAGGAAGCCGATGATTGAGGTTCTGGATGGGGATGACGAAGAGGCGAAGAAGGCCTGGCTGATGCAGGAAAGAGATACGCTTCTCGATGGTGCGTTCAATCTTTTCTTCATCCAACGCCATATTAATGTTATCATAGCGGAGAAGCACAACTGGAATCTACCACCACCTCTTCCCGATACTCCATTCTCAACTTCACTGACGCATCCGTATGGCTTCCTCAACCTCCACTCTGGATACTTTCCCAGAGCTACAGACACAGAAAACGAAGTCAATACATATGGAGAAGATGCAGAGAGACTCAGTGAGGGCGAACGGTGGGAGAAGATGCGCGCTCATGAAGAGGAGAAATGGGATCCTGAGCATTACATGTAAGCTCACAGGCTCCTGACCTGGAATATCGGTTTAAATCTAACCTTGAAAACAGTGCCGATTTTATGGACGATGCAATGATCAGGGAGATCCTTGCACAGGATGCGCCGTTTTTCGATCTTTTGCACGAACCCATAACCTTCACGGACGACGAGAATTTGATCATGATACAACTCCCCCAGCGAGAATGTAAGCATCTTTCTCCACATCTCCGTTCAGACTAATTTCAAACCACGTGTAGTCCTTTTGACCCCTGAGTTGAACCGCAACCTCTATCTCACCATCGTCCCTATACTCTTCTCGACTGCCTATGACGCCTTGACCACTTTCTCTGAGCCGACCTCCCAGTCAGCATGGACCATTTCCGTCCTCGCCGCACCGTTCGTCTCCCTAAACAGTCTTCCCGCAAATTGTACACTGCTGTCAGCCCTCGTCAGCTGCTATCGTCGCGCCCTCGCCTACCCACTGTACAGGAGCTGGGCGCTGTGCGAGGGTGTGAGGAGGGAGGCGGCCCAGATTCTCAGGAAGGGCAGGCGGGGCGTTGGAAAACTGCTTTTTTGGACTAGGGCGGTGCTGGATGCCGGAGGACCGTATGCAGCATATGCGCGGGTATGGGTTGACGATTATCTGAGATGGGTACAGATGCATGCTAGGTAAGAATAAGAAAGGTTCGTATGTGTGTGCTAATCAGTGTACAGTGACGAAACGTTTCTTTCGCTGGCAGATGAGCTTTCGGCTCTCCATATCTCGAAAGTGGACATCGGCTGGCCACTTCAAGAACTGGAAGAGGCTGCACAAGAGATGCAGCAAGGTGACTCCGATGACGAAAGCGATCAGCAGGAGCATATGCTCCCTGCTCCTCTATAAGGTGTTTATGCAGTTCAGAGAAAGCACACAATTGGATGAGATATGTATGGCATGATCCTTTCTGTATTATGGCATGTCCTAGGGCCTGGCCACATGACGCCCAATCACCAAGCAAAACAACCAGGCAGGCAGCTGGGAGGTGGAAGGAGATAATAGGTATAGTAAGATTACAACAGTAGAAGTAAAGCACGACACTAAGACAAGCACAGGATAGCAAAACCCAAGACGAGATAAAAATCAAGCCTTCTTGGGTGCGGCGGCCTATAAGAGCATGATCAGCATCGTCGATGGTAATGGACATGATCTGTTCACCTTCTTCGGTGCAGCTTTGGGAGCAGCCTTCTTCGCTGCCGGCTTCTTTGCGGGTGCCTTCTTCGTTGTGCCAGTGGCGGCCTTCTTTGCGGCAGGCTTGGATGCAGGCTTCTTGGCAGTAGCAGGCTTAGAAGCAACCGGTTTCTTTGGGGCGACCGTCTTCTTCACTGCGGGCTTAGCCGCTGCCTTGGGGGCGGCCTTCTTAGCAGCCACTGGCTTCTTAGCGGCAGGGGCAGCAGGCTTGGGCTTGTTGTTCTCCTTGTTGGCAGTGGCGGACTTATTGGGAGCGAGCTTGACCTTGCCCGAAGAACCTGGAAGGGATCAGCATCCGATGACCAGCCACCTCCGATGACAGCGAGCTCACCCTTGGGCATGACAAACTTGCCGAGCTCGGTGCCCCGCTCGAGGGCTTTGGAGATCTGGCTGTTGACGGAAGCGTTAGAGGCGAGGCTGTACTTGGTCTCGATGAACCTCGAAGGGAAAGGGATGAGATAAGGATGATTGAGCCGACGGCGAGCTCACTTCTTGATCAACGGACGAGAGACACCAGTACGGGCATTCTCCTTGTCATTGGCGATGCACTCCTATCATCATGAAGCGTTATGGATGAGTATATGCGGTATGAATGATCAAGGAGCACTTACCGAGATCATGTCAATGAAGGAAGGGTGCGTGGGCGCAGCCTTCTTGGAGACAGGCTTCTTAGCGGTGGCTTTGGTTACAGACATGACTGATAGATGTGTATGGGTGAAGGGTAGAAGGTGGATGAGGAAGTGGAGGTCGCGAGAGAAGACGATGAGGAGGGGGGGCAAGTGGTGGTGAGGACGAAAGGGCGAAAGTGGGGGCTGCGTTCCCGTGCCACGGGATTTAAGGGAAGTGTGCGACCCCATCGCTGATTGCCTGAACGCGCGAGAGGCAGATCACGCGCCAAATGTCAACGCCACCCTGATAACAAATCAACACGTGACCAAGCAATCTAACGCGTCAAACCTGATTTCCACACCGCGTCACAACGGGAGGAGATTCCACCTCATGGGAAATTTAGTCTTGTGCTCTCGATCAGGCACTACTTCTTCCCTTTCTTCTGTCAAGACTGGGCTAGGTCTGTAAACAAACTGGGGCAAGACAATATATTTTTACGTTACTGCCACAATGAACAAACTCTCCTCCCCTCCTTACTAGCATCACATGTGATCCTATTACTGCTGTGGGATGAGCAGAATGCTGCCGTTCGACTGAACCATCGCCGCCTCTCCTGTCTTCAACCACCCATCGATAAGTGGTATCTCCACAGGCGTCGTCGTCAACACAGATGGACCCCGAACGATCATCTGGATATTGTTTAGTATCGTTCTGAATCGACGGAAGATATCACGCACCTCTCCTACAGGGTCTTCCCCACGCTCAACAGCAACATCATCCACCCCATTCAGTTTCAACTCGAGAGATGCAGTGGGTGCACCATAGTGGGCGCTGGGTGTGCGGAAGAACTGCACATCGAAAGGGCTGGTGGCACATGCTGGTCCACAGACAAGAGGGTGGATGAACGCATTCACCACAGGAACAGATAGAAGCAAACGGGAGGGTCGCAACCTCAGCGGTGGGATCGGCTCTGCCAAAAACATGAATACAACAATTGTCAAGGGCTGCGCGATGCTTACCTCCAGCAATAATGATCTGCCTGAGCTTCTCGTCGAGCTTCTTCCCAGCCTTCTTTCTCGCTCCTCCAAAGATGAAGTTGTCAAGCCAACTGTCTCTGCTAATGTGGCCATGTGTTGCCTCGGCGATCTTGTGCCTCCAGCCGAACAAGAAGAAGAATCCAACGCTTCTGAGGATCGCTTGACCCCAGGACGTCAGGTGTGGCGGAGTGAGGAACACGACTGTGGGCGCGGGGAGGTCGTATAAGTCAACGGTGTGCTGTAGTTCATCCAGTCCAACCTTGGAAGCTTCGAAAATTATATCAGCGGCTGTCATCACGGGCAGCAGCATACATACCGTCGAGTGGGCCCTTGTGGAGGGCGGTGGATGGGACCGTGCCAAAAGCAGAACCTAACATCAATCAGCACTCGGGGTGCGAGTGCGGAGGAAATCAAGCGTACCGTTGTAAATAGAAGCGTACGCAACCGCCCGGCCGAAAGGATGGGCAAACGAAAAGGCAGAAACGACAGTGTCGGCCGCTGAGAGTGTTTTCCCGCTGGCGAACAGATTCATGACTGAGGCCACGCCAGCGGTCAGATTCTGGTGCGTAATCTCGGCTCCGATAGGGCGCTGATTCGTGTTAGAAGCGTGGCTTCACATCAAGAATGACACATACACCATCGGGACCAGTTGTGTAGAAGTTCACTGAGAAAACATCTTCCGGAGCCGTCTCAACGGGCTGGACCTGCTCTGCGACTTTTCCGGCGTCCTCGATCTCTCCCCAGAGGAAAATCTTGACGCCCGATTTCAGCCCAGAGTCGGTAACGTCTGTCTTAACGCCCTGCTCGGGAACGACGATCACGCACATCAGGTGTGTCTCCTTCTCATCTACGATTTGCTCAAGCAGCCTATCGAGATAAGAAGCCGACACGATGATGGCCTTGGGCATATGCCAATGAAGAATGGGCACCACAAACTGAGTTGACGTGGTAGTGAATGACGTGATGGAGAGTTGAGCACAAGCAAGATCGGCAATCACAAAGTCTGTGAACCACTTGAGAATCTGGACAGGGTGCCCAAAAATCACAATTTCATACCAACGCTATCGTTCATGAGGAAAAGAACATTTGACTCTTTGGGAACCAGCCCTGCGACCTTGACGAGACCGGTGGCAATGGCGGCAGCAGTGTGCTTCAGTTCAGTGTTCGTCGTCTGGGAAACATATTGAATAGTATTCACAAAGAAACATCATTTGCGCATACATGGTGCTTCCATAGCTTGCGACTGGCTGTCTGGCTCTCAGACACGAGATCGAAAATACTCCTCACATCTGCCTTAGGCCGAGTGACGAGCTAGAGAAATGCAGTCAACACATTGTTGCCGTAGCGGACCTTCGATACATACCGGAGACCCATGCCCAAGACCATAGTTTCTGTAAATGGCTGACTCTCCTTTCTTCCGCGACTTGCTAATGTCTGATTGCCTCCCAAAGAGCAAGGGGTGTGCAAGCGGTTGAGGCCTCTGATTCTGCCACAGGACGAACAGGACCGCAGTTACTGCGACAAGCACATACGTGGTCGTATCATGCTTCAATAGTGCGTCCCAGTCAACCTCTGGCAGCTTTAGTTTGGGGATGCTAGTGTCGTTGTCCATAGCGTAGTTCGAAAGGTAATGAGGTGACGAAGCGTTCCCCGAACGCGCCAAGCCCAAGGGTTCGCCAGTTGAATGCCGAACGGGAGCAAATAATCACGCGCTTCCTTCAAGTTCATCGGGTTCTGTCTTGGTCCTGGCGTTGGACTGCTCTCTTGCGAACAACAACGAGCACATACTATTCACATATCCTCTGAGCGGCGAATGTATGTCGCGATGGAATCTTCTGCCCTATTGCTGCCTTTTGCTCAGATAAATGCGAGGTGGCTGGATCTGCTAAACAACTTATATCAAAGGTTGTCTCTACTAGAAAATTGGCCTAGTGATCGAAGAAAACCCTTTCGACCATAACCTTGCAGAAACGATGTCTGAACTCTGTCACGTCCTAATGTCTATCCTGGGTCTTGTACTGGATTTAAAAGGAAGTGCGCCCCACCGGTCGTGTGCAACAGCGGCCCCTCTCCCTGCCTGATCCTAGTTCGCGTTACTTTTCCCTTTCCGTGATGTCCACTCTCACCTCCCCAGCCGCCGACAGTCTCACCATTATGTCAAACGAGTCGCGTCCTATGTCAGCTGGCGCTGGTAGTGGTGCTCCTAGCACTGTCGTTGAGCTTAACGCTTATGACGTGCCGGTCACTATGAAGGATGCACTTCAGCCTCGTGACATCGCGCCTCCTATTACCACTCCGAAAACGCACATCATTTTCGAGGTTCTGGCTGAGCTACTAGGCACCGCAGTCTTTGTTGGATTTGGGACTGGCGCAAACTGTCAATATGCGGTCGGCAACGGCGGCCAGTTTATGGTATGTCCCGGTCTTCGGCGCATATATTTTGCTTACGTGGAGTATCTAGTCTTTTTCGACAGTCCCCGTTGGATGGGGCGTTGGACTGGCACTCGGCAATGCTTTCGCGGCCCGCTTCTCAGGTGGCCACCTCAACCCAGCCGTGACTCTTATGCTGGTGCTCATTGGGCAAGTGCCAGCATGGAAGTTGCCCATCTACTACATCACTCAAGTGCTGGGTGCTCTGGCAGGTGCCGCTATCACATATGGAGTGTACTAGTGAGTCCTTTCTCTCTCAATTTTCTTGTCTAGCCTGCACAACCTGACTATATGCGCATACAGTCACAACATTTTTGTATACGATCCGGGACACACCCTCGAGCGCACTGCAGGACTGTTTGGCACACTCCCAGCAATGGACATGCCGGCTTTCTCCTGCTGGCTTGCCGAGTTCTTTCCATCCTGTGTCCTTATCTTCACTATATTATACATCGTGACCCTGAAGCCTAACCCGCCATTCCCGGTCGTGCCGCTTGGTGAGTGTATTTAGTGTATCGAGGCAGCCTTCCACTCACAGCTCTCCCCAAAGTCCTCTTCCTTACCATCCTGGGGGTCGGATGCACCTTTGGATCTACTACATCCTTCTCGATGAACCCGGCACGTGACCTTGGTCCTCGTCTCCTCACATGGATGGCTGGCTACGGTAAAGAGGTGTGGAACTACAAGAATCAGTACTGGCTCTGGGGTGGCCAGCTTGGCGCTTTCTCCGCCGCGGTGTTTGTTAGTCTGGGATTCCATGCGTTTACCTGGCTGGAGCGCCATCTTCTGGACGATCGTAGGTGCGTTGAGCGTGGTAGTCCCGTGATGTGACGGAGAGAAACTGATAGAAAACTTGCAGAAAAATTATTTCAACTATCCTTGTGTAGAGGATCAACATTTCTGCGAATCTTCAATCCACTGCCTCAATGAGTCGTCCTGAGCCGTTGTAATAACCAGATACTGCTGTACTGCTCCCATTAATACACACAAGCCAACCTCATTCCGTCCGAAAATCGCCACAAAAATTGATTGGGCCAAATGCTGATTCCTTTTTGATTCACTTCTCTACATCGGTTACATGCCGGTCTCGTTAAGAACATTAGGCGACTACAACGTGCGAGTTTTATATTTGTTACAATTGAGATCTGAGTCATTTCTCGCTAAGGGCAGCGACACCGGGCAGCGTCTTGCCCTCCAGCAGCTCCAAGCTAGCACCACCGCCGGTGGAGACGTGGCCGTGCTTGGTGAGCTCCTCCTCACTACCGAACTTGGCAACGACGGTGGCGGTATCACCACCGCCAACGATGACAGTCGTGCCCTTCTTGGACGCCTCGATGGTATCAGCAAGGAGAGCCTTGGAGCCTTCAGCGAAAGCGGGGAACTCAAACACGCCAGGAGGACCGTTCCAGAGGATGGTCTTGGCCTGGAGGACAGTCTCGCGGAAGAGCTCACGCGATTTCGGGCCGATATCCATACCGAGCCAGCCCTCGGGGATGCCGGACGCATCTGTAGCGGCGTCAACCTGTCCAGATCAAGATTAGCTATTTTGCCAAAGTGATGAGCAAGTCAGTGTACCTCAGCATCCTCAGCGAACTTGCTGCCGGTAACGTAATCGACGGGGAAGACAACCTTGATATTGCGGGACTTGGCTTTCTCCATCAGAGCTGCAACCTTCTCCGCGCCGTCCTTGTCGAAGAGGGAATTGCCAATGGCTACATTCTCCAGTACCTTCTTGAAGGTAAAGGCCATGCCGCCGCCGATAATCAGGGAATCAACCTTAGGAAGATGGTCAATAAGGACGGATGGTTGATGCTAGATCGACCGACCTTGTCGAGCATGTTTTCGATCAGCTGGATCTTGTCCGACACCTTGGCACCGCCGAGAATGGCAAGGAATGGCCTCTCAGGGCTTTCAAGAGCCTTGGCAAAGAACTCGAGCTCCTTCTTCATGAGGAAGCCAGCGGCACGCTTGTCGAGCTTGACGCCGACCATCGACGAGTGGGCACGATGAGCAGTGCCGAAGGCATCATTGACGTACACGTCGCCCAGCTCGGTGAGCTGCTCACGGAACTTATCGACAGCTTCGGCCGAGGCCTTCGTCTTGGTTCCGTCCTTGTTCTTGACGGAGCCCTCCTCCTCGATGTGGAACCGGAGGTTCTCGAGCAGGAACACTGTGCCGGCAGGTGCGGACGCGATCTCCTCTTTGGGAGATGGCTCAAGGGAGGGGATGAACTTGACCTCCTGGCCGATGAGCTTGGAAACAACAGGCGCGACGGGGGCAAGAGAGTACTTGGGGTTGGCCTTGCCATCTGGACGCCCAAGATGGGACATCAAGATTATGGCATGAGCACCTGATTCTCGGTGAACGAGTCATCCTGCATTAGCATGACGGGAGCCTACCCTGCTCCAGAGCATACTTGATGGTTGGAAGGGCGGCGACAATACGCTATAGAGCTCGTTAGCTGCATGTATGCGTGCAGTATTCTCCACACGCACAGCGTCATTGGAGACTTGTCCATCATGCATGGGGACATTGAAGTCGACCCGGATGAGGACGCGCTTGCCCTTGAGATCAAGGTCGGTGATGGCGAGCTTGCTGGAGAGGGACATTGTAGACGTTTGCAAACAGAGCGAGGTCGTCGTCTGGTTGACAGTTTGGGGGCGCACATTTATGCAACGACGAACGTGAGCGACACCATCGGGGCCGGCTTGGGACGGCCGGGATCAATTGCCCGTATTGGCATTCCCGACAATGAGGAAGTCCCTCGATATTAGGAAGGCCGCCCGCCGGTGAACACAGCTCCAGTGAGGCATGAATATATCATTTAACTGCACAGCAAGGTATGAGAGTGCCTTTGAACAGTGAGGTGATTGTATAAATGCAAATTATACTATTCGTGAAGCTATGAGGAGGCTTGATGATATTGCAACAATGCAACGGGATGCGGAACAAGCCCGAGGTTGCCCGAGGTTCCGATTGGGGCTTATCTTCCTTTCAACATCGTGAATTTCGCCTGAACTTCCCAGGCGTGGCGGCATTTCGCGGTATCAGTGGCTGGGCAGTACATTACCCAGGGTTAGGCAAGTTTGTGCCTGAACGTTCAGCGGGTCATCATCGGTTAAACTGATTTTGGAGGTTATCGGAGTGGAATATCCTGAACTCACGACAGCAGCGGCCCGACGCGAACGACCTGTTTAGCCAATCGGTGCGCCTCCTTCTCTTTGCGCTTGATTCGTTTCGTGACCAGTTTCGCTTTCGATATTGCTTTCCGTTCCCAGTTGCTCTGCACGTGACAGTAAGCAACAATGATCACCAGCCAATACAAAAGGCGGACCTGGCTGCCATGCCTCAGCCGTGTCATTATACTTCCCGCCTGTCCCTTCGTCAATGTCGACAAGTTTTCTTCGTGTGAAACGATCCTAGCAATACTGTCGCTAGTTTCCGCAAGTTTAGTGAGCTTTTTCCGGGAGTCTTCCAGCCTTTTTCTGAGGAAATCTAGTTGCTGGGGCGTCGCAGGTTGTCTCCGCCATGCTGCGGACCGGTATGAGCTAAAATTTCCATCAGTCCGTGACCTTCAGTCCAAAATATGAAACAGAACTCACAGAGCCAGCATCGAAGGCGGGAGAACTTGTTTTACCACAAACATGTCAGCTGCCTTCACGGTCGCTTCTAGCCGCTCGCCAGTCACAATTAGCCGCTTCTTGTAGTATGTAGTCTCGTCCTCATCATGTCGTTTCACTGTGGGTGTGAAGTAGCCTTTGAATACGCTTATTTCCCCGGCTGTTATGAATAAGTGGGAAGTCCAACAGAGGTACGAGGATACCACTTACTCTCTTCATCATAGTCCGGCTCAATTTTCACAGTGCCTTTCCCCAGGCACTCCAGGACATAGACATCTTTCCGGCAAGCGACCCAAGCGAAACGGCTCAGGACGGGAAGGCTCGGAGATCCTGTGGCACTCCCGGCAAGTTCGAATGGGTCGCTATAGTCAATGTGGATAACAGATGTTGGGGTAAGGGTGTGCGCCTCGTCAGGCGAGTCGGACTGGTCTTCAGCTGTCGGTATCTCGTATTCTGTCTCATCTAGAGACGCGTCTAGGTAGTACAGTCAGCGCTCGATTCTCATCCGCGGTATCTTACCTACCTTCTACGAGCTCGTCTGGATCCAAGCCTAATAGCGTAGGAGTGTTTACCACTCCATCCACACGCCTCACACTGTCTACGAAGTCAATCACCCTGCAGTCTTCCTTGCCAGTATTGGGGGACAATCGCATCCCCCTCCCGATCATCTGCGAAAACAAGTTTCTCGATCTAGTCGGGCGGCAGAGCATTACGCAGTCGATGTTGGGCACATCCACGCCCTCGATCAGAACGGCACAGTTGACCAGGACGGGGAATTCGCCCGCTCGAAACAACTTCATGACGTCTTGGCGTTCTACGGGGCGCATGCCGCCATGGATGAAGCGAGCATCAATACCAGCGTGGCGAAATGCGTTGGTCAGATCTGCGACATGCTGTAGGTCAACGCAGAAGATCAAAGTGGACTTGCGACCAGCTATATGAAGGGTCAACTTTGATATTAGTCAATGACGCGGGACATACTAGCTCGATCCAGCCAAGTGTTCACGACGAGCTTGTTGATGGTTTCGGTGTTTATGACGTGAGCAAGACTGGTTGGGTTGAAGTCGCCCGTTGTGCGGTTCACTTGCACGTGGTCGAGGTTTAACTTGGCTTTTACTAACGTAAATCGGACGTTGCACAACCTAATTAACATCCATGTAGTAGGTTGTTTCGGGGCAGCGAGGGAAATTATTACCATTGTTCCTTGACCATATTCAGGAAATCTCGATGATACACGACTCGCTGGAATACCTTGCCCAACGCAAGCCCATCATGCCTGCTGAAGGTTGCTGAAAAGCCAATAATGGGCAATTTCGAGCACAACGGATCGCCCGGTGGCGGCTGAAGCGACCCATCGTCTTCTATAACCGGGACCGCAGACTGCCCCTGCTCTACTTTCGGATTGATGACGAGGGCAGGGTCGAAGTAAGTTAGGATGTGCCGATAGGAAGGTGCGGCTGCGTGATGTGCCTCGTCGACGATGACGGCTTTGATATTCTCGGGTGTGAATTTTTCAAGCCTGTTCGGGGAAAGCAGCGTTTGGTATGTGGCGATAGTACTGGGAATAGAGTTACAATATGGTTAACTGAGGAACGGTCTTTGATCCTACATGTCGGCCCTTCCCGTCGCTTGGTGTTTTCCCTGCTCAACCTCTACCCACAACTCTGGAAACATAGCCGCTGCAGCCCGCGCAGTTTGCTGTGCTTGCTCCACGCTGTTGACAATAACAAGAGCTTGGGTTGCATGCAGACGGTCTGCTGGTGGCTGCATGCGTGTGATCAAAGAGAGGAATATAGTTGTCTTGCCGCTTCCGGTAGGGGATGACACGCCGATCCGAGAATACCCTGCTGAAAAAGCGTCGAAACATGCTTGAACGCATTCTTCCTGATACGGTCGGAGACGAACAGCCCTGTGACTCCCAGAGTGGTCGTGTGCGCCTTCCGGGACAGCCGCTGAAGCCAGGAAACAACGTGACGAACATCTAGGCCTGACACGAAGTCCAATGGGAGTGACAAACAGAGCAGACAGACGCCTAAGTTGCCAAGATATCGACAACATTCCTCCAGATCAATGCTATCCAAATAGTACCGAAACTATTGCCAGCTGACAGCCATTCATAATTAGTTTCAGGTCGTGTGATGTGACGAAGGAAAGTTAGATTGAAATTGGATGCGGGGATCCCTGGAGACGTCGGGTATGTATAATAAACGAAAGGCTCTGCTCAGCCCTGTGCGCTCGCCGCTGCCTGTACATCTCCCATCGTCCGTATCCCGTCAGCTTACCATCTCTCTTTAACGGTCAACTACCATCTTCATCGTCGCTCATCGTCGCTCATCGTCGCTCATCGTCGCTCAGCTGGTCTGAAGTGTTCGATTACTTACTCACACCACTATCACCACTACCCTTTCGTTCGCATCTGTAACTACTTTTGTCTGCTTGACGCAACGCCCATCGACGGAAAATTCACCTCGCAACGCCCCCTAAACCAACATGGATAGGCTCCAGCGGTATCGAAACGACGTCGCTAGCAACGATCCTCCACTGTCCCCGACATCCAGCATGCATGTCTCTCGCCCACCGCGGTTGATGTCCTCTCTGAGCCACCAGTCCACCTCTGGGGGCCCTCAGCTGGCCATCGAGACCGCCTCCCCGACCCGGATCAATTCCTCATATCGCTTCCCTCCCTCCCCCATCCCAGGCTCTCCAGGTTCTCCACGCGTCTCTCGCTCAGCAGTTCGCTCCAGCAACCACTCTCTTCTGGCCCAGCTTGATTCACCCAATATGCCATCCAGTCACACCATGGGCATCCCTGACTTACCTGCCGAGTATAAGCGTGGTCGCACAAGTGAGAGCAGCAGCCGTTTCTCAGCTGCGCAGCGCTCCCGATCGCACGGCCGTCCCTCTCTAAGCCACACGCGCTCGACCTCATCAATGTCATCCAACACTACCACGTCTTCGAGCTCTAGTTCTCTGTTCGATCGTCCCGCCCGCGCCGGCTCGATCGCTGGTTCCGAAACATCCGATGATAGCAGGTCTATCACCTCTGTCGAGTCGAAGAAGAGCACCAAGGCATTGAAGAGCAAGCCGTCGGGCCTGTCGCTGAGGACTTGGTCGAAGAGCAAGACGCGAGTCCTCGTTGAGGGGGATGAGGATGAAACGATACCTCCTGTCCCTCCTATTCCATCCCTGCCTGGTATGCATATCACTTCAGATAGTTTGCACGGACTCACATGCATGCAGCGACGGCAACGGTCCAGCGCCAACCTAGCTTTGGCCCAACGCTCTGGGAACGCTTGGTGGAGACTGCAACCTTATCCGCTAAAGACTGGACTTTCTACGGGGCACAGGATGACGAGAATGAGCGTACGTGGTCCCGTGAATGCATATATGCACCTCATTGACGTACTCCTTCAGCCACAACACCTGGCGGTGAGACGCATCTTACTGCTGTCCTGAAGACGTACTATGTGGACCGGGCGAGTACAAGAGATGACCTGCCGTTCTGGTTGTTTGAGGACAAAGAGCGCAATGTTCCGACGCCGATGTACAGCGCCAGCACCCAATATTTCTCTCCTCTAGAAACGCCCAGAACGGGTACGACTACGCCAGGAACTGTCGTTCCAGCCACAGCGAGTACCGTGAAGTCCAATCACAGCCTTCGCGACATCTACGAGTCGTATATGTACTCCCCTAAGTCTGCCGAGAAAGTCAAGGTGCGCTCACCTACACCGGCAACACGCGCGCAGAACAGGCTCCGAGAGCTGCGCGATGCGAAGCGCCTGGGCAACCTGGCGGTGGTGGACTTATTGGACAATAAGACGATGAGGCCACTGTTGTCAGCCGGGCTAGCGTCGAGGCCCAAGTCCCACCGAGTGCCGGCCGGTCCGAAAACCGGACGGATCTGATATCCGAACGGTATCTGACCACCTCGCCCCAGAACTCCGTGAGTGCTTGAGGGTCATTCGTATCGTAGGGGAGGAGGAAGCGCAGGCCGTTTTCTCGTTGTTGCCCGGTTATTGGAGGTTTTCTGACGCACACGGGTTGCGAGGATCGATTAATGCACACAATCACGAGTTATTTAATCTATTCTGATGATTAGGTGAGGTTCCTTGTGGTGCATTCGACAAGGGACAATTCATGTTCGCATGGTGATGAACGCATATTTTCTGCAGTAAGCACGCAAGGAAGCTGACACATGAGGGGTCCGTCGCACAGGAACGGCTGACAACCGGTGTGGAGAATACTTCCGCGCCTTCTCCTCCTTCCTTTCGACTCACCAAAAGTCCCGTATAGCGTCGTCCTGAGAAAAAGTTCCCTCAGTTACGAACTTCGAAGCTGGAATGGGATATGCTCTGATTTTCGATGTGAAAATATCTGATAGCGGGTGACAACAGTCATTGTATTCTCTACTCAACGTGACATTGCTCATCTACCTTCGGTGATTACTGCCAATCACGCTCTCCAGAGATACTCGATCGTCACTACGCTCTCTGCGAAAGAAGCGCCCTCGTCGTCGTGTGCCTCTGTAGACCCTTGTCAACGTTCCCCACAGTTGATATGAGTCTCCATGATTCACCACAACGAGACTGTTGCTGTCGGTCTGGGAAACCGAAAATGCCGCATCGTACGTTGACACCGTCTCCGACCCTGGATACGGACTCAGCACCGGTGGTTAAAAGGCGCCCATCGGTGGGCTTGGGACCGACAGGCTTGGCCTTCCTCTGCTCTCGCCCCTACTTCGTTCGACTCCCCTCACACGAGCTAGTCTCGCCACGTGAGTGTTATCTCTGACCCGAGATGGCAGCTTTACTGACGCCTGGATAGCACAGCTAACTCTTTGAGAGAGTTCAACCTCTGCGAGGCCCACTAACAGATCACCAATCCACGTCAACCTTCAAACAATCCCGATCGAAGAAACTGAGCAAAGATGGTTATCCTCACCACACCTCTCCTTACTGCTATCGCCGTTCTTTCCGCCGTCACATCGGCCGCTCCTTCCCAAAGGCTCAAGCGCGACTCCTCGATCAATGAGCCCGCTTTCTCTGCCCCCAATGGCGTGATTGAGTCCGCCGCGGCGGCCCCGTCACCTGTTTCTGCCGGATCTTCGTACGGCCCCAACAGCTACGGGTCCTCCAGCTCGAACAACTGGAACTCTGGCAACTACAACTCTGATTCCTCGAACAACAACTGGAACCAGGCTTCGTCCAACAACAACTACGGCTCCAACAACAATAACAACTACGGCTCCAGCTCGAACAACTGGGACCAAGGCTCGAACAACAATAACAACAACAACTGGAACCAGGGCCCAAGCAGCAACAACAACAACTGGAACCAGGGTTCGAACAACTGGGATTCCAGCTCCAGCGATACATGGAGCTCCACCTCGTCTGCTGACAACTCCTGGCAGACACCCGCCAACAACTCCTGGCAGAGCCCCGCTGACGACTCAGCGCAGTCAACCTCCACGACCACCTGGGTCGCGACCTCGACCGTCGAGGCCGCGTCTGCTACACAGACCTGGAGCTCGTCCGACAACTCCGGTAACTCCTGGGGCGACAGCAGCAACTCCTATGGGTCCGGCTCGTCCAACTGGGGCTCGGACTACAACAACTGCGTCTCTCAATGCCAGGCGCAGTGGGGTCTCCCTCCCCCTTCTACTACGGCTCCTCCGTCGTACGGTGGCTCTGGCTCCAGCGGCTCTTGGAACGGTGGCTCGGGCAGCGGCTCCGCTGTGACCCACACTGTCGTCGTCGCCCCGACTCAGGGTGTCCTTCGTTACATCCCCTTCTCGATCAACGCTTCGGTCGGTGACACCATCTCCTGGCAGTGGCACGCTGGCCCCCACACGGTGACCAAGTCTTCCGAGTCCCTCCCGTGCAACAAGACCATGGATAACCCCTTCGCTTCCGGCAGTCAGAACGCCAGCTTCGTCTTCAACCAGTTGATCAACGACACCGACCCGGTCTTCTACTACTGCGGTGTCCCAGGCCACTGCGCGAAGGGCATGTTCGGCATTGTCAACGCCCCCTCGACCATCGATGTCAGCACCAACCTTGAGTCGCAAATCCTGGCACAGGCTGCCAACAACCCGACCATGAGTGCGATGGTCGCGATGGTCAACAACATGACAATGGGCACGAGCGCTTACAATTGGGGTGCGTCGATGGACATGTCCTCTGTCCCTCCCGAGAACCAGCAGAGCTTCATCGAGAACGTCATGTACACGCGTCTTTTCTACGCGGCCAACAACGGCTCCCTCGAATCTGGCCTGGGCGCTTACTCCCCGTCGGGCGCTCTTGTCTGGCCCACCGACCTGTCCACTCTGATGGCCAGCGCCAATGTTGGTGCAGGGACCCCTGACAACACCTCGAGCTCTGCCGCTCCTGGGGCGAGTCCTTCGTCGGGCGCCTCCAGCAATGCCTACGGCTCGATGTCCACCAGCGGAGCCAACCACCGCATGGCATACTCCGGCGGCTTCCTCGCCGTCGCTGCTATCGTGGCTGGCGCCTTCCTCGCGTGATGTTAACCCTCCTAGCAGTTGCGAAATCAAAGCTCTGAGCTCATACCCCTAATTGGACAATGTTGTTTATACGTTGTTGCTTTGGATACTTCCGTTCTCATGTTGTTGCCTTTGGACACTTTCCTGTTCTTCGTAGACTCTGCTTGTGCAGGTAGCCATATGTACGGACTGGCAGTCTCTCCTTCCTTACCCATAATCTACGTAACTTTCGTTCCCACCTCGTTGCGCATACACCAACTCAAAACTGGAGGTGGTAATGGATTCATATTCCAAGTACACCAACAAGTACTACTAAGTTTCTCCGGCGTTCCGCTCTAAGACGCCCAGAGTTTGTGATTACCCATGCACTTCAGCGTATTTCCCGGTACCTTTGCCAACACTTACAATACTAACCTGGTACAACAAAGTTTGCGAATACAGCTCTTGCTACAGAATCTTGTTTCCCTCGTACTCAATTCCCTGATCTGACATTTAGATGCCCTCGTTTACCAAGATGTACATGAAGCCGTCGTAACCCTTGTCACCGACTACAAGAACGCAATCAGCCCAGCACACACCATGAAGTTTTAATCAAACATGCCGGTCGACATCGTAGTCGCCTCCACGCCCTTGTCATCCTTAACCATCTGCAAGAGCTTCCTCACGCCCACCACGTCCGTCGTCTGCAAACTGTCATCCGCGACCCTCCCGTTCCTGACCACGTTGTCGACAACGATCACCCCACCGGTACGTACAAGCTTGCGAGCAGCCGCGAAGTAAGGCCCGTTGTTGTCCTTGTCCGCGTCGATGAAGACGAGGTCGAAGGGCGGGCTGGGGGAGAGCGTGGGGAAGCTGTCCAGAGCGGGGCCGAGGATGACGCGTGCTTTGGAGGAGAGGCCAGCGTGAGCGATGTTCTCTGTCGAGATCTGTGCTTGGGTCAGTCCTTGTAGAGCAAGCATAGAGAATACGCACCTTCGCGTGCTTCGGGTTCACTTCGAGGGAGATGATCTCCCCGCCCTCAGGCAGCGCCTTCGCCATCCAGATAGTCGAGTAGGCGCCGAGCGTGCCCACTTCCAAGATCTGCTTCGCACCGAGCGTCTTGGCGAGCAAGTAGAGGTACTTTCCCTGGGCAGCAGAGACGCTGATAAGGGGGATGCCGTTCGCGTCTGTGTTCTTCAGAGCGAATTCAAGCGCTTCGTCCTGTGAGAGCAGGTACTTGTTGTGGTACTGGTCAGTCTTGGTCCAGTCGGCGTGCGTCGTCGCTGGGCGGAAATGGTGGGGGTGTGGAGTAGACATGGTCGTTGCTGATTTTTTCGGTGAGGAGTAAGAGGGTGATGGTGAGAAAGAGTACGGCGCTGGCGGTATTTATGCCTCGCACTACTAGGTGTATGGACCGGACGTTCATTGCCCCGCAGCAGAGAGAGTGGAGGATCGTGACATTGCACATCATCATTCTTCATGAATTAGGCACGAATGCCAAAGTATTCATAGGAAA